ACCACAAAAAAAAGCAAAAAAAACACAAATCATACCACAAAAAAAAGCACAAAAAAGAGCACAAAAAAAACACAAAAAAAAAACACAAGTCATACCACAAAAAAACACAAAAAATTCAAAAATCAGACCACAAAAAAAAACACAAAAAACTCCACTAAGTTGTGGTGGGTTTTGTGTGTTTTTTGTGTGTTTTTTTGTGCTTTTTTGTGTTTCATTTTCCTTTTAAAAATAGCGGGCCTCCAGTTTTCTTTTGTTTTAAAGGGCAGCCCGCCCCCCCCCCGGGCCTGGAACACCGGGGCCGCCCACAGTCGCCCTGCCCGGCCTCTGCCTCCCCTTCTACCCGGCCTGCCAGAGCCCAGCTCTGCCCAGCTCATTTTGTCTGGCAGCAGAATCCCCAAGCCTTTTTGACTGGATCGATATTGTCGATCATTTCTTCACTGCTTGCGCTCAGATGAAAAAAGCATCGGGTTGACTTGAGGGTTTTGTAGCACATGATTAATGTAGCCAGCGTTAGAAAGGGCAAATGAAAGTCATCCTAATGCCAACTATGGCTAAATTGCTGTGTTTTTTTTGTGGTATGATTTGTGGTCACTGTTACTGTGCCGGGGCAAAGCCCAATATATATAGATGTATACAGATACAAGCACTGTATATAGATGTATACAGTATACAATCTGATACAGTACTACGTTACTACATCATGATACATCCCTTCGACTCATGCGCCCCAGACTCACAGCGCGTTCCTTTTTCGTGTTCTGTTTCCACAGCCGGACGGACCCTGCGGTCCGGTCCGGTCCGCTAGGACCCCCGCCGGTCCGGTCCGCCTCGCCGTTCGGCGCTGCAGGTGTCCCACGCGGCCGAGAAGTACTCGTTGGGACGCAGTGGAATGAGCCGACTCGTCAGCGGAGTCGGTCGAGTCACTGGAGCTGTGATCGGATCGGCTCCTTGGGAGTGAAAGATGTCGCTGCACGACCGGGGGGGGGCTGGGGGAGAAACAGGAAACCGGAGGAAGCCGGAGATACCATTGGGGCAGAGTGAGCCGGTGAGGGAAACCTGACCGAACTTCCGTTTCTGACACCGACTCTCCACCGGCCCTCCCAACGGAAACCTTCGACCGGTGGATGGCACACCATGCTCCAACGGCCGAAGCACCATGCCTTGGAGCCGGCCGTCCGAGTCCAAGTCCGACCGACCCGCCCGGAGTTGGGCGGAGTCCCGGGCGTTCGCTACCTGAACCGACCCACCTTTGCCACAGAACATACTGACCTACCGACCTGCATTCAGTGGATGAGCTTAAAGGCTATAGCTTGGGGGATTGGACGCTTTGTTCCAAACCAAAAAAAGAAATGAACCAGTTCGGTGATGTCCCTTAGCTTTTTCAGGAAGATCGGGAGATCGGATGGGTTGGGGACCCGAGACCATGCACCACACGATCGTGCCAACGGCGCCAAGCACCGGAGTTGGAGCTGTGCCTGGGCCCTTTGAAAAGGTGTTTTTGGCAGCCAGGGTTGGCAGCAGGGTACGCCAATGTTTTGAAGAAGGCAGGATGGAAAGGCAGCGCAGGATGTGTGTTTCTTGAATTTATTTATGTTTCATCATGTTTCTTCTAAATTGGAGGTGAAGGGCGAGAAAGCAGGAGGGATCACTATCTTGGAAGGCTGGAGAGCATCCCAGCTGTACGTGCAGAGGGAGCTACTAGAATCGATGAATTGTCCGGTGTCTTCACAAGCATCCGTTGAACATATTGTTATATGATGTTATATGTGTATATATAGTAATACAGTGTATGTAAGCTTTTGTAAACAGATCTACATCTATACAGTACCCCAAGCTTCAAAGGTCGATTCTTTAAATAGACGTTTCGATTAGTCCGGTTTCTGACATGTGTTTTCGGTTCACGGTGGTTCACGCATGCCTCCCGCGGCACCCACCAACAATGTCATTGTTGCAACTTTTCACAATCGGCCACGGGCAAGTCTTGATGCCACGGCTTTGTTCCACCTGAGCTGGTTCATCGCTTTCACTCTCTATCTTGTATTTCCCGCATGTACACGAAAGTGTTGTAACTAATCCAGTCGAGGCACTCTTTCAGCTTGAACTTGGTCAACCAAATCCTTGGAAGCTTTTAACTGTATTTTATTGACTCAGAATCGAATCTTGCAGGGTTAAATTTAAATTAGCTTCAATTTGTCCTGCTTTGCTTTTTCCCACTCCAGCAAAGACATGAACAAACACACAAGATCAAAGCACCTAAAATAAAGGCAAAGGATCCGAAGGTGGCCACAACGGACAATCCATCATGTCCGCCGAAGTGGGTGGGCTTTCAGGAAAGTACCTCAAGCGAAAGTTTGCTTCTCAACAACTTCCGCACGCTTCTGCTTGATGTCCATTAAACAGATCCCACAACATCTTACATTGCCGCTGAGCACTCAAACGCAGCTAACGTCGGGCAGCACGCCTCTCGCCGACCCTCTGGATGCCATCTGACAAGATTTGGCGGCACTCACCATCACAAAAACCTACTTTCATAAGATAATAACTGTCAAGAGTCCAAGCACATTTTAAAAATAGACTTCGACCCCTGGTATATCTACATCATCTACACTGTACATGGATCTAGTTGACATGGAACATCCATTTGTTTGCCTTGTACTTCCACATCTTTCATGACTTGAGGTGCACCACGTGCACCACTACGTCACTGCGCCGGTCTCGCCGGTCGCCCCGATCTTCCACACTGAGACCGCGCCGATCAGCACGGTGCAGACGGTTCACACCGTTCAGGTGCCCGCTCCAGCGCCCGAACCGGTCCACACCGTGCTGCGTCGCCACTACGGCACCGTCTATCGGAAGGTCCCGGCCGCTCGGCAAAAGAGGACCGAGGGGGGCCAGCAGAGATCGCAGGACTTTGACGGTTCGGGATGGTTCGGGAGGATATGTTTCTCCACGTGCTGCGCCTGCTGTCAAGATGTTTGGAGATGTTTGGAGAAGGTTTTTGGTTCTCCAAAGGCTGAAAACTAGATTCCGGTGCACGATGTTGTAGCATTTTGTACCTAATTCCAGCGCACAGGGCACGCTGGGCAGGGGGTTGGCCCACCAAGAGTTGCTGCAATATGTTTGAAACAGTTCATATGTTGAGGGCATGGAAAACAGACTTCCTCTCCTACCATCTCCTACTGCTCTCCTACCCTCCGTTGTTGTGTTGGTGAGTGGCTGTGGGTGTTTTGTGTTTTTTTTCCGAAGCATCGATATGCAGAATGATCATGCGCTGGCACATGTCTAGATGATCGACATGAACCTATTATCTATTCGTGTAGGTGTGTTGAACAAACATGGTTCGAAGTTGCAACATGTTCAAACATGATCAAACGGGTTTCCTGTTTTTATAGACTCCATCAAATCTATCGTGTGAGGTGAACCACTACGTCCACGTGCAGATGCCCGAGAAGGCCCCCATCGTCCACACCGTGCAGATTCAGACTCCCGCGAAGAGCTACAACTGCGACGGAATGGGGTCCCACCCAGACCCAAGCTGGTCCAGCCAGCACACCCGCTGGTGCTGCTACAAGCACTCCGGATGCAACAGTTTCTGACCATGAATGACCCAAAGGAGACCAGATTGTTTGATAAGATAGGGATTTAATGTGGTTGATCTGTGTTGGTGGAATTTGGCTCTTGAATTAGACCATATCTTAAAGCTATATATTTCAATCAATTACAATCCCTGAAATAATCTTATAGGAAGGTCACGGAAGTGCAGTTCACCACCTGTTTCGTATTCGGAAAGTGGTCATCCAAAAAATGAAAAGGGGGGATATATGCCATCCACGTAACCATGGATCTACAAGGAGTTGTATACAAGACGGAGTGTTTCTTCATGAAACAGTTCGTCGAACTCCAATCTCCTTCGTCAAAAATCCCTGTCGGTCGGCATTCCCCTCTCTCCCTATCGCTCGCTCGCCTAGCTCGCTCAGCTCGCTTGTAAACATGTTGGTCCTTGCGGAGGTCAAGGGGGAATCATGTAGAATCATACCCTTGAATATGTCACCATAGAATGGTTATCATATGTTATCATGGCTTTGTTATAATGACGTGTCCAATCCCCATGTTACAAAGCTCACTTCGTGCTATTTTTCATGCGGAATCCTTGGAAAGCTCGCCTTCTTCACCGCTCCCTAAGGTACAAGATGTTCTGCCCTGTCGCCGTGGTGGACAAGGACAGACTGACGTGACACACACCGTGCGTCCGTGTGCGTCGGGTCGGCGAAGCGTGGCGGTGAAGTGGCGAAGAAAGCAGAAGAAAGCAGAGGTGGTGGTCCTCTTCTGTTGCGACTGTACCATGAAAGTTAAACGAGTTAATGAGGCGATTTGTATACTAAAGATCTAAGGCATAAGACGGCTAAAGAATCCAAACTTAGCAGGACAGCTCCACAATAATGGTCTATTCACAGTTCAAGTGAATTCCGAGCAGAATCCAACTTTTGGACCCTTCTACGTACTCCCACTTCGCCTCTCCGTTTCGTGTTGGGTTGGGCTCCGTTTCGTGGCGCGCGACGGTCAGGACTACTACCACACCGTGACCAAGGTGCAGCAGGTCCGGGTGCCAGTGCCTGAGCCCATGCCGGCACATGCGCCCATCATCCACAACGTCCAACACACCTACCACGTGCCCAGCCCTCCTCAGTATGTGCACGTGGAAGTGCCAGGCCGGCGAAGAATCACTGAACCAAACAGATTCCAATCATAAAGTGAGTGTCTTTAAAGTGCAAAAGTGTTTGTATCCAACAGTTAGTATATAATATAGACTTAAGCAGCTGGAATTCATGAATCTCCAGATCACCTACTTTTTGGGATCACAAGCGGTTGATGTTTAGTTGTACATATCAAAATTGTACTGAACACATATGAGTCGTACATGTGTCATGTTACAGCTATGGCTACATATGTAATTTGCACATGAGCAACTGGAGTAATGTGGAGACAGGCATACGTCTAGGCTGACATCGCGCGATGCGTGGAGAGACATGCGTTTTTTGGTTCACCGTGCGCCCTTCACCACCATGCGTATACATGTCAATAGAGTGTGCTTTTTCCTCTATACTAGACATGCTGTATTTGTTGCATACATGTTCCTTACGGAATCAACATACTAGCAGCAGTACTAGCAGCATTTACTATGCTCACCGTCAGGCCCTACCGTGGTGAAGCCCGTGGTGATGAACGAGAACGTCCCTGTTCCCGTGCCAGAGCCGCCTCAAGTCATCAACGTGAAGCGCCCCTATCCGGTGCACGTGCAGGGCCCTGACCACTACGTGAAGGTGCCAGTGCCATCGCCTCCTCATGTGGTCACACACTACCACACCCAGTGGAACACTGTGGCACATCTGATTTCAACAGTTTTGTCAGTTTCCAAGTTTTGATCTATTGGTTGTCCTCTTCACCACACAATCGCCCATACCTACCCAGGTGGTGGACCAGCAATATGATTGCCAGAACGGCGTTGAGAACTTCCAGCAGCTTTGGTCTCATTCCAAGCAGACCTGGTGCTGCTCCCACTTCAACTCCGGCTGTGGACATTGGGAGAAGGCAGATATCGTGTTTGAAAACATGTCACATGGGTCAAACTCTTAGCTAAGCTTTCAGTAGTGGCTAGGTGGTTACGTGATTGGCTGGTTTCATTGGTGACCACGGCATGAAACTAACAAGTGAAACGACGAGAGTGCTTTCCATGTCAGGTGGTCCACGTGTACCACAGCTACGACTGCCAAGCCGGTTTCTCCAACTGGTACCATGGCTGGTCCAGTAACAAGAAGGACAGGGCTACTCCACTATGCAGCCGACTGAAATCCGGGACGTCAGCAGGTGACACCACCTTGACGTAAACGCAGCTCTTCGGATGTCGTGTTGTCGTGCTGTCCTGTCATAGCAAGACAACCGCTTGCCATGCTTAGTATGTACAACGCTTGTTGTTTTTGGCTGAGTCTCCGGCACATGCGCCCCGGAAGTCCTCTGTTTAGGGGGGGCGCATGCATTGTCATATGCAGCACTGCTCTGTGTGTGTGTGTTCTTGGTGATTTGTGTTGATGTGCTGATTTCTAGTGGTCAAATCGTTTGATCGTGTTTGATCATATTCTACGAATCAAATCAACACAACCTGGCGAATTCCGACCGAGTTCACCACGGCTTCGTCCACCACGGTCCCACGGTCGATGCGCGAATTCCGTCGTCGCTCACCGGGAGTGACGGTTGGGGGGACCCAGCTACTCCGGGTTCGAACCGGAGCGTTTCGGATTGGTGGTTTGGTATCAATGCTAACTATCTAGTTTGTCCCCAAAAAGAGTATTCGTGGCAGGGTGTCCAATACAGATTGAGTGGGAATCTACAAACTTCCATCTATTTGGGGGGCCTTGTTGTCGCTGCTACACTGGTCCCGTCACCCGCAGGGTCGGTCACACAGTCACCGGTGACCCCTTAAGCACTCAAACACTCCTGGCCTACCTAGCTAGCCGGAGGGAGCGACCCGGTGGTTTAAGGGGTCGCCCGGGGGTCTCCAGTTCTTCCCCTCAACAGCTCACTAGCTGGGAGGCTACAGAGAGTTCCCCTGAAAAGCACTGTAGCTGAAAAACTACAGTGTTTTCAGAGCCCAAGTTAGGTGGAAACCAGTGGAAACCCATTTGTTCAGGACATCTTGTCTGTGCCGTACTTGACGGGACTTGTTTGAAAATACTTTGAGACACTTTGAGGTCATGTGCTCCCAAGATGGTCGACATCAGGGACATCTTAAGAAATCAGATATCTGCTTTGATGGTGTTGCTCTCGTGGGTTCCAAGACTGACGGAAGACTTGCAATGCTCTGCTCATTTGCCCGCCGGTGGTGCCACGGAAATTGGATCAATCCTCTTCAGGACTGGTGCTGCAGCCACGAGCAGAAGGGTTGCCCAGGCAGTTGGCATGGACACTGGCACCAGCATGTGCAGGCAGCGCTGTTCGTTGTGTGTGTGTGTGGAGGGGGGATTCTCTTGGGCTTAACATTTGGCTAGGCATCGTTTTCTTTGGCAAAATCCCATTGGAACCACCACTTGTTACAGCTGTTACACCACCCCTGTGTGACTAGACTCAAATTGTTGTCCAATGCCGCTGCCAGAGCATTGCTTACTGCTGTCGAGCTTTCCGTGAGTCAAACAGACCACAGTGTTCCACACATAGAAACAATATCATAATCGGACAGAGTGATGGTTTGCCGGTTGCTTCCCGATTCCTTTCCGCTTGTGTGCTTCCAAGCAGGGCATGATGACCTCTGGGCATGATTACCTTTGGGCTTCCAAGCGACGGTCTCATCCAAAGGGAACAGTCTCATGGCAGTCGACAGATGGTCTCATGATCTTCTGGGGGTGGAGCATTCAGGTGTTGAAATTGGTTGATGATTGAGGGACCATTCTGGTATATTCTGGTGCAGCATATGCTGGGCTTGGTTTTATTAAAGGGAGGTTTGTGAATCCTTCGGTTGTGGCTACGGCTATTGCTGCAGTTTGGCAGGTTCATGTCGAGCATGGGGTTGGCCACGGAGGCTACGACTGCAATGCTGGAGCCTCCAATTGGATTCAAGGAGCCTTGGCCTTCCAAATGCTTTGTGCTCTTGGTGGCCCAAAGACCACTTTGAGCATGTTGGTAGGAAGGTGAACGGACTCCATCAAAATTCACCATGCTTTGCCTGCTTTATGTTGCGTTATCCTGCTTTTATGTGTATATAATCAGTTCAGAAGAAAAGAATAGTTTGTTGCTGCAGTACATGTGGGAAAAACGCTCGGTGGCTTGAAGTGGTTTCCCAGTATCAAAAGCACAACAATAGATGACAATAG